ATATGTATTAGTATGCACATATGTAAGTGAGAATCTATTCATATGTATATTATAATTATATAGATATAATTATATATACATAAACAATTATATATGAACATTTATTTATAAACATATATTCCGTCATTTCTATACGCATATATATAAGTGTGGAATATATATATATATATATATATATATATATATATATATATATATATATATATATATAAACATACCCACTTGCAGTATTGTAATGACAAAAATATGTTTATATATATATATATATATATATATATATATATATTATATATATATATATATATATATATATATATATATATATATATATATATATATGAGTAAACGATATATACATTTATATATCAAGAATTGTATTAAGGAAATTGTAAAGCAAAATGATAAAAATCTATTTTATCTTGTGTGTGAGTGTGTGTGTGTAGAATGACGAAATATCCTATTAAAGGACATTATTTTACTCAGAAAGTTTTCTTATTATTAAAACATGGGAACAAAATTTTTCTGAATTTTTGAAGATTTTAAAAGGCGCTTGTCACTTTGATTTTCAGCCGGTTTGTTCAACTATTTCTACCTATTTACAGTTGCCTTTACATTTGCGTATGTAGTTGAACGATCGTTATGTCATGATAAGCAACTTTAGCGTAAAGTAAATGTGTCGCCCCCTGTCTTCACATTGAATATCACCGACGCAATAGATATGAAAACCTCGACTCATGAACGCCTCAGAAAATGGATGGGGGACAAAAATGAAGGCCTAATTGATCACTTAGAATACGAAAATCGCACAGTTAATTCAAAGATGCGGGTTACTTAGCGCAAAAAGGGGCACCCAAAGAAAGGGATCTCCTTACAGGTCCCGAGAAGTCAGCTATCGTTTGACATACAATTTCAACATTGATTTGAGTCGGTGATTATGTACGCTCGGTTAAGTTTTTCCACCCCCTCTTTCGATTGCATTGTTCACGAGTATGGAGGGGAAAACACAGTAAGCTGCCTTTCCAGGTTCTTCTTTTTTTTTTCATGAAATCTAGTGATATATTTTAGTGGCGGTATTCTCCCTATATATTTGAAATATACGCCTTGTAAATTTTAATATTAGTGTTTGAGCTTTTTACAATACATTCTTGCTCTGTTCTGGACATTGAGCTCTACTTGGATTCTATCTTCTTGGAAACATAATTATATATATATATATATATATGATAATGTATAAAATATATATATATATATATATATATATGATAATGTATAAATATATAAATTGGATTCTATCCTCTTGGAAACATAATTATACATACATACATACATATATATATATATATATATATATATATATATATATATATATATATATGATAATGTATAAATATATAAATTGAGCTCTACTTGGATTCTATCCTCTTGAAACATACATACATATATATATATATATATATATATATATAAACTAGTTATATATAATATATAAATATAAAAGGGAACATTGAAGTGATCCTCTTGAAAAGTTTATATATATATGCTATATCTCTGATATTGATATATAAATTTAACCCATAAATATAGCATATTAAATCTATATTTGTTCCATAAATATATATATATATATATATATATATATATATATATATATATATATATATATATATATATATATATATTTATCAGGTCATCCCATAAGTTCTGTCCGAATTTTAACTTTTTGTTAAAAGAACGAAATTTAAAGAGTATTTTATAATGTCTAATAGAGCTGAACATTATTTTTTATGTTTAGATGCATTTAAACTGATCAACTTTTATTTCAGAGAACAATAAAATTAAATTTTGTTTGATTAAAACCCTGCTAACATGGAAGTACGCAAGAATCATTTGAGGCACATAATGCTTTATGAGTTCAAGAAAGGAAACTCAGCAGCCGAAGCGGCTAGAAACATTCACTTAGTTTATGGAGAGGAATGTGTGAATGAAAGAACTTGCAGAAGATGTTTTGCAAAATTCAGAAGTGGAGATTTCACCCTTGAAGATAATGATCCAACCGGACCTTCCAGTTGAGTTTGATGAAAAGCTTCTTGAAGCAGCCCTTGAAGAAAACCCTGCTTTGTCAGTTCAGGAATTGGCTGTTCTTCTCAGTTCCAACCATACAACTGTTCATCGTCATCTTCAACAACTTGGAAAAGTTCCTAAACTTGGAAAATGGGTGGCTCATGAATTGTCTGAAAACAACCGCAAATCCCGAGTTGACATCTGCTCTTCTCTCCATTCTCGCCAACTTGTTTCACCTTTTTTGGATAGACTTTGACTGGCGACAAAAAATGGATCTTTTATCGAAATGTTAAGCGTCGTAGACAGTGGCTTGGTAAAGGGGAAGGACCCCAGCCACAGTCGAAAAGGGAACTTCATGGGCAAAAGCTTCTTCTTTCAATCTGGTGAGATCGCCAAGGAATAATCCTCTTTGAATTCTTACCACCTAATGCAACAATTAATGCTCAAATATACTGTCGAGCAATTAGAGCGTTTGAACCAAGCTTTGAGGAATAAAAAAGACCTGCTCTAGTGAATCGAAAAGAGGTGATGTTTCATCAGGACAATGCGCGACCAGACACAGCAAAAATCACGTCACAAAAGATCGAAGAACTTGGTTGGGAGAAAATTTCTCATCCACCTTATTCTTCCGATCTTGCTCCTTCAGACTACCATTTGTTACGTAGCTTACAGAATCATTTGGAAGAAACAGCTTTTGTAACACAGTAAGAGGTTAAAACTGACATTTGTGAGTTCTTCAAATCAAAGCCAAAAGAATTTTACAGTAATGGAATTAGTAAGTTGTTAATAGATGGAAGGAAGTCATAGATAATCAGGGAAAATACATTGTTGATTGAATCTGTAATTAAATGCAACATTTGGTACTTGTTTTCTTTACTCAAA